CTCGCGCCGGCGTGAAGAGCTTCACTGGAACTCGGTTCGAGTTGGTGCGCGGGGCTCGCACAGGTTCGATCTTGAGTTGCGGTGCGATCTGCCGTTCGGCTCGAGCCCATGGATCGCCTGGTGGCGGCTCGAGCCCATGGATCACCTGGTTGCGGTTCGAGCCCATGAATCGCCTGGTTGCGGTTCGAGCCCATGGATCGCCTCGTTGCGGCTCGAGCCCACGAATCGCCTGGTTGCGGTTCGAGCCCATGGATCGCCTGGTGGCGGCTCGAGCCCATGGATCGCCTCGTTGCGGCTCGAGCCCACAAATCGCCTGGTTGCGGTTCGAGCCCATGGATCGCCTCGTTGCGGCTCGAGCCCACAAATCGCCTGGTTGCGGTTCGAGCCCATGCATTGGCTCGTTGCGGTTCGAGTTGGTCGCGTGTCAGCTGTTTTTTGTTGTTTCGCTGCATATCAATTGAGGCGGCCTCCTCGTCTGCCCTTACCCGCCCCCCCACCCGCTGCTCCGGCTGATTACTGGCACGTTTTGCCCTTTTTATGGGCCGCATAAAACCTGTTCGCATACGTTGCAGTCGGTGCTGGGGTTGGGGTTGGGGTCGGGGGGGCAGATGGAGTTTCTTTTCCGCCAAGTGAGCAAAATTAAAACAAAACATGCGTTTTGTCCGCTGATGGAGATATCGGAGATTCTGTGGAGGCTTCCTCTCGGTCTCTTCTCTCTATGCTGCTCTTTCTTCTTCTTGTTTTTATGGATATGGAATGGAGTTCCCGGCTGGACTGGAGACTGGGTCCCCCCCTCTCTCTCTCTCTCTCTGTGTTGTTTTATTCATGTATCGCACAACGTGGGAACTTTTAATTGTGTTGTGTGCCTGGGATTTCAGAAGATACTCGGACCAATACCAGGAATTGCTGTCCACTTTTCTTTTCTCTCTGTTTGGTTAACAGCCCCCCACCTCCCTCCCCCGCAGCAGCAGGGAGGCAAGGAAAAGTACTTGAAAATGCAAAAAGGATATTTAGTATGCTCCTCCGACAGTGCAAATATCAAAGATTTATTTGTGTGTGAAGCGAAAGGGAAAAAAAAGAAGAATATAAAACCAGAACAGAACCGTTTCAGGCTTCACTTCACATTCTTATGAAAAGTGGGGGCCAGTGGGGGCGACCAGAGCAAATATTGTGCCACCCGGAAAAAGGGTCCACTCTAGCCGCCGAAAGGGGGGGGCGACCCTTATAAACATGTCAATCACAAGTAAATTGTAGCAGATTTAATGGACCCATCCGGGGCCTGTCCAACGGAATGCGGAGGAGTGTGGAGTGGGGGCTGAGAAATTCCAGCGAAAGCCGGGCCGAAATGCAAATGGCGGTTGTCATAGATTTGCCGCCTTTCCATTTCACTGCTTAGCAGGAATTTATGGGGCTCCCCGGGCTCCCCGGGCTCCTCGGAGGCCTAGGCGCGCGATGGATTGTTTAATGAAACTTTAAGTGCGTGCCCGGCCAGTGGGGCACGTAGCACAGCGAGCGTGGCAGGAAGGAGCGTGGAGTGAAGGACCAGTGCCTGCACTCAATTGCAGCATGGCCGACCACAAAATGGCGTCGAAAGCACTTCCGCTCGAGTTAAAAACAAAAAGTCATGCAAGAAGCAGGAGAAGGAGGAGCCGGAGGAGCAGGAGCCGGAGCCGGAGCATCATCATCGTACGTGAAATGTAGCCTGACTTGTTTTTTTAATAACAGCCGTCCGAGAAAACCCTACCCCCCTACCCCCCCTTCCCCCCCCAGAATCCACTGCCCTCCTGATCCTCCTCCTGCTGCCCCCCGAGACAGCTTTAGCGGCTATTAGAAAATTGCGAAAATTGCGCACACGTTTTCGCACACGCCACACAGACACAGACACACACACACACAGACACACACACACACACACACACACAGACGGACGAGAGAGAGACGTCCAGAGACGACGACGTTGCATGCCCCCGGGCAATCGAGTGCAGTTTGTGGCCTCAGATTTATTGCAGACTCGGAGTCCCGTTCGAATTTTAAACAGTTTTTCGTTAAGTTTGGTTTATTAAGCCTTGGGCCAGGCGGCAGGCGGCAGGCAGGAGGCAGCCGGCAGCCGGCAGGAGGCCCCTCTGCATAATTCATCTGGTTTAAGGGTTTTCCACCATTTCATTTTCCACCGGAATACACACACACACACACACACACAGAGAGAGAGAGAGAGAATCCTCCGATCCTTGTGGCTCGTTTTAAATCATTTGGCTGGCTGGCTGGCTGACTGGCGGTAGTTTTTGGCCATTTTATGGGCAGAGCAATAGGTGTGGCCGTTGATGTTTATTGGATGGATAAGTGGACAGCGGTAGTGCTTGGATTGGAGCTTACTTCACAAATATTCCCCGTTTTTGTGGGTAATTTTGCTAATTTATGGCGGAAAAACGAGAGTTGAAGATGCACTTTTACGAGTACGAGTTTTTGGCAAGAGATGTTGCTCCTAATTGAATTCTTTGGTTGTATTCCTCCCATCCCATCAAAGCAGTTTTAGAAGAACATTTCGGCTCAAGAAATACGGTCTTAAAGAGCCTCAAAAGGTTACCAAAAGGGCCCTTAACTTGAAAAGCATGAAAGTTACTTCATTTTTCAGGCATATCAAAATTCTTGAAAATCGTATTCCACCCTCGAAACTGCTGCAAAAGTTGAATAGCCCCATTTGGGAAAGAAAAGATTCATCAAATTTCCTTTGAAAACTTTGCATTTTCTTGAAGGCTTTAAGAGGCGACTAGCCGAACCGAAATACGGCCAAAATGTTGCTGAAATTGGAACCGAAAATGCGTTGAGTTAACCCTTAGTCGCCCCCCCTAGCCGCATGGCCGGGCCATGTCCCCTCCCGCGGTGCAGAAAAGGGGCAGTTAAGTGCTCGTACCATGCCCCATCCCCCACCGCCAAACACCAAAACCCAAACCCCACTTTAATTTGGCAAAAATCTAGGCATATGCCCCGTCAAGGCTTTATGGTTTCACCTTCAAAATGCCGAAAAATGAACGGAATGAAAGGAAACCCTGCGGCGTCTCTGATTACACACACACACGCACACACACACACACACACAGAGGGGAAATATATGCCACGTGCACGTATGTGGCACCTCTCTAAAACGGCAAAATCGATAGTGTTGCCAGCCACGAGGAAAAAACAAGAAATGAAAAAAGAAAAACCAGGCATAAAACAGAAAGGGGAGGGGGGAAGGGGGGGTGTATGAAAATGCCTGCCATTTGAAACATTAATTGATTGAATTTCCGAGACGCAGCGAAGTGAGAAGACAAAGGCGAAACTTTTTGGGGGGGCATAAATATTAATATGACAGCAAAATTATGCGTGGCACAAACAAATGTTTAAAATTCAAACAAGAAGCCCCTCCCCCCCCCCCCCCCCCCCCCCTCGCCACCCCTTGGCGTCCCCCCAAAAGAAAAGCCATTCAAGGTCGCAGCAGGAACAACAAGGACAGCGACAAGTGTTTAAATTAATAAGTATGACGGAAGGACTTGCCACCCCCTGCCCTCGCCCTCGCCCTCTCCTTCTCCTTTCCGTTACCAGGCCTCGGCCTAAAAGCAGGCTGCGAAAATTCTATGCGGCTGTGGAAAATTAATTTTCATTGAGGCACAGCCAGAGCCAGCTTTTCCCCCCTCCCCCCCCCCCCCCCCCCCCCCCCCCCCCGACAATTGTTTAGATTTTTCGGGGGACTTGATTTGCATTTATTGCAGTAATTGCGGCAACAACAATTCGAGGATTCACTTGAAAACTATTTCTAGTCTTCATATTAATTAATATTCGATGGAGGATTCGGGAGGAGGACTTTCGAAGGACACTTACAATTGGCGCTTAACTTTTCGTGCTCCGGCGGATCGCCGGGAATCTATGGCACTGATGATAGCGCTAATTGTTCTAATGCGCTCAAGCAGTAAGCTGCTTAAAATTGCTCCGAAATTGCAGGAAACGGCAATGGCAATGGCAACGGCTTTTGGGGAGGGGAGGAGGAAAAAACACGCAGGAATGTGTGGGTGTGGGTGTGTGACTAGGACAAGGATGGATGCCTGTCTCTGCTTAGGTATTAACAGGGACTTTGGCTCCGACACCACCGTGGAAAAGGTTGATAGATGCCCCACGAATTGCGATTGCAAAAGCCAATACGAGGGGGGGGGGGGGGGTGGGGGGGGGGAGATTTTAAAGTAAGGAAACATTTGGGAGTTTGGTAAAAAGATTCAAGATACTTGATCAAGGAATGCCTAACCCACGAGGAACCCACCTAAGGAGGCAATATCTAAGCCAGAAGTAAGCCATAGGACCCAAGGATTCAAAGATAGGAAAAGATTGATAGAGAGATATGTATGTAGATAATGATCAAAGGTCCACCATAACCCATAATAACTATCATCAAATCACAACTATTCACATGCCTCTTGAAGGCTTTCGATCATTACGAGTACTTCCTTCAGTTCTTCGACGTCTCAGACAATCAAATGAAGAGTGAGCGGGAAAAAGAACCGAAATTTGAGGATCTGACAAAGTAAAAATTCCGATATCTGCTTCTTTTAGGCCGTTTTGGGCGAGTGTTTTGATTGAATGAGAAGCAAAGACCGAATTCCACCGAAACGATGCTGCTGACGGCAGGGCTCTATATATGAAAAATATATATAACCTTAAGGTTATCAGGAACTTACAAAAACACAACTAAAAATAAACCATAAATGTCCAAAAATAAACCAAAAAAACCTCCAAAAATAGAAAAAATACCTAGTATCACAGAAGATCACAAAGAACCGAATGAATAATCTTTATATTCACGCTATTAATGTTGTTGAGCAAAGGCTATGGGTTTCTTTGAGTGGAGCTGTAATCTGGCCTTGCCCCAAAAGCACTTACACTTTCCATCGTCTAATCTTATTCTAATCATCTAATCTATCAAGCAGGCAGTGATAGTGATAGCGGAGTGAGTGGAAATGTTAAAGCCATTGTTAGAGTTTGCTGTTTGGATGAAAGCGTGGCTGTTGCGACCCCTGGGACCCCTCCTTGGACGACTTGGAGTCCAGCGTCGGAGGTCGATGGCGAATGAGAAAGGGCACAATGTACTGGGCACACTTCTCGGGCTCGTTGAGGTGGACATGATGGGTGCCCTGCACTTCGTGGAACTCAAAGTTTGGATTGCATTCGCTGAGAATAGAGAAGGCCTCGCTGGGCCCCAGGAACGGCGAATCGGAGGCCTTGATGATCAGATAGGGATTCCTCTCGATGCGACGCGCCATCGCCGCAAACAGGCCGTCGTCGAGGTAGGCGTGGTTTATGAACTTGATGCGCCCATCCCGGGAAAAGTAATGCTTCTCCGGATATACCTCCGACCTGGTCACCTGGCGGTGGAGTATGTGATGGGCCACTTCGTAGCGAACCGACTGGAAGCTGCCCTGGACCAGGGCCCTGCACATCGTCTCCAGCGTGTAGGCGGGCGGCTCGCCGTCGCTGCCCTCCACCAGTCGCTGGTCCTCCCGCAAATGCTTCTCCATATTTTGCGCCGACAGCCGCAGATTGTTGCCGTCCGGCTGCCTGCAAGCGGATACCAGAATGTCCAGCGATATGACCATGTCCACAGTGTGCGGCGCCAGAGCGGCATAGACAAACATGAGGATGGCCCCCATGGAGTGCCCCAAGAGGGAGACCGTCTTCCAGCCGTATTCCCTCATTACCAGCGGAATAATGTACACGTAATCGTCGACGCTGTAGTGCATGCCGGGCTGCAGGTGGGAGGACCTTCCGTGGCCCGGCAGATCGATGCACAGCACGCCCAAATAGCCGGGCAGCAGGGGTATCAGCCGGTCAAAGGTCCCCAGATTGTCCAGCCATCCGTGAATCGCCAGAATGGGCCGTTCCGTTCGATTGCCGTACCAGCGACCCGATATGTGGCCCCACGGCGCCGATATTCTCACCTCCTCGAACTGCAAAGACCACGAGAAATGCTGCAATATCCCCACTTTTCCACTTTTCCATTATGAAAGCACTTACATCATCCAGCGACAATGTGCCCATCCTCAAGGCCCGTGTTTTATCTGCAGTATCTCTTCTCTGTGGGAACAGGCCTTCAACGATTCGCAAATTCGGCGAGGCGACTGTCCGCTCAAAGATCTATGCGCGGAATGATTCCGGAACACAGCACCAGAAATAAAGTGGAATCTGGATTCCATCCGAAAAATGTTGCGTTGTGCTATGTTGTGATAAGGAATGTGCCGAAAAGAAACGAGGGGGAACGTTGTGAGTTGCTGCGGACACCGCAACTCTACAGTTATACCCGATACTAAGTCAGTATGGCTCTCCTCCGGCAGACGCCGCTAATATTAAACGACACGACAAAGAGTGCGTGCGAGAGAGACAGAAAATCAGTCTGAGCGTGACGTCACGCGCTGCGTAGCCACTGCAAATTGATTTGTTCCTTTTGGCTATAAAAATGATCTGATCTGATCCAGATTCAGCAATCTGATAGATATGGTCATTATCTATGATTCTGCGTTTTTAGTTTTCTCAAATCTGCAATATTGTGGATGCAACAGATTTTCGTCCTTTGTGGGAGCGGATGGGGGTGGGGCGAAATTCTGAGATATACGTTTTATAGTGAGATCTAACAGGAGTGCGGATTCCAAATTTGGTTACTCTAGCTTTAATAGTCTCTGAGATTTGTGAATATCCCCAGATTTGCATTCTTTGCGGGGGCGGAAGGGGGTGTGGCGAAATTTTGAAACAAACTCGTCTCGGTCCGATATATTAGGAGTGTGGATACCAAATACCAAATAACAAGGTGTGTATTTTCTTTTATACACGGTACTCAAAATGAGTATTGGGGTATATTAGAATTGTGGTAAAAGTGGATGTGTGTATAACTGTAGAGTTGCGGCGTCCGCAGCAACTCACAACGTTCCCCCTCGTTCTTGTGCAGTGTGCACAATTTTTTTGCGATCTTCCTCTTCAATTCGAGGCATCGTTAAAACCGATAAACGAATGGTGAGAAAAGAACATGCAAACAACGCAGAATTTCTCAAGCTTTCTAACGGTGCATCGCACGGCATGCTCGAAAGCTCGCACTGCGAGAAACTGACGATTGTAAGTGTGCATTCCTTAACGTATTTCCAAAACAGAGAGAGGGAGAGACAGAGCCCGTTCTACCATTTCTTATCTCCTGGCACCACCTCTTCCTCTTTGGGTCCATGGAAATTTGGGTTTTTAGTAGGGTTTCAGCAGTGGCACGGATCGGAGAGGAGCGATGGGTAAACGTACGATAAGGATTAGGGGGAAGTAAAGAGGTGGAACGTTTCCAGTGGCCAGAGTCTTATCTGCAGAATCCCCTCTGGACTATTTTTAGATGGTTTTTTTTTTATTTTTATAATTTTTATTTTCGCGAATGTCCGCTCCAAGATCTGTGCACGGAATAAACTATATCTTTTTAGTGCGAAACTATTGCTAAAATTATGATTATACAAATCTATTTCGGGCACTTTGAAAGCGACTCTTCTCACAGTTTGCTTCTCTGTTTGCTGTGCTTGCTCCTGGCGAAGAACTGCTCCTGGGCCTGTCGGCGCTCCTTGGAGCTGAGCTGCTCCCCTCTGCCCGCCAGAGACCAGGTGGTCAGATTGGGAGGACGGTGGTGTCTGATGAAGGGCCCAATGTACTGGGCGCACTCTTCGGCGGCGTGCAGATGGACGTGATGAGTGCCGCCCTGCACTTCGTGCAGCTCAAAGTGGGGATTGTTTTTGCCCAGAATGGCGATGGCCTCGTCACAGTGGGGTCCCACAAAGGGCGACAGGGAGCCCTTGATGATTAGATACGGCTTTCGCTGGATACGTCTCGCCATCTCCGCAGCGAGTCCTTTTTCCAAGAAGATGTGGTAGTAGAACTTGACCCGTGCATCCCGCGAGAAGAAGAACCTGTCCGGGTAGAGCTGCGACTTGGCCACCTGGCGGTAGAGCAGATGCTGTGCCTCCCTCGGGGGCACCGAGTTGTAGCTGCCCTTCGAGAGGACTTTGCGCAGCTCGGGCAGCGTGTAGGCGGGCGGCTCGCGCAGGTTGCCTTCCTCCTGGCGCTCGTCCTCCACCAGATGCTTCTCCATGTTCCTGCCGAACGTGTCCACATCCTTTCCCCTGGCATCGTCGGGAATGGGCAGCAGTATGTCCAGCGAGATGACCATGTCCACCGTGTGCGGCGCCAGGGTCGCGTAGATGAAGGCCATAATGCCGCCCAGGGAGTGGCCCATCAGCGAGACCTTGTGCCATCCGTACTCCTTCATTACCCGCGGAATGACGAACACGTAGTCGTAGACGGAGTAATGCATGCCCGGCGGCAGGCGGGACGACCTCCCGTGGCCCGGCAGATCGATGCACAGCACTCCCACGTTGTCGGGCAGCAGCGGTATCAGCCGGTCAAAGGTCCCCAGGTTGTCCAGCCATCCGTGAATCGCCAGAATGGGTCGTTCCGTTCGATTGCCATGCCAGCGACCCGATATGTGACCCCAGGGCACCGATATTCTCACCTCCTCGTACTGCAAGAGAGGAACAGATGATCAAACAGGGTCTCAATCGATCAAACAATCGATCGATGCCGGCATCGATCCGCTGACTCACATTTGCCAGGGACAGCGTTCCCATCTCGACCGTCGTCGTCGGCCTCTTGAACTTTGAACGGCGCGGTTGCTTTTCGACTTGATCCAGTAATTGCGGCGGCTGTACCCACAGTACTATCTGTGGTATCTTGGCTAGTCAGGCGTGGAGCGATTAGTGTTTTCCGACTCTACACATTTCCCCTACGCGCCTCACAGCCGAATAACCCGAACAGCTGTTCGTGGAATGAATCGGATTCAAAAGTCGCAGCCCAAAGAGTTTACTTGTGCAAAGAGAAGGCCGCTCGCAGCAAGCTTTCCAGAGAGCAATCATCGAGCTTTGGGCACGAAGAGCATAGCAGCCAGCTTGTGCGAGCAAGCATTATCAGAGCTTTCTCCATGCGCTTCACATTTTACTTAAGATTTGTGCATTTTTCTAGTTTGCTCTGCGATCAGTTGTTTTTTGGATCAATTTTCGCTTGTATGAAATAGTATCCGTTTTTATTGCTTTATTTTCCTTTAATTCATCGCTTGGCAAATGATTTTCCAGCCCGAAACACTTTTCGTTGCTGCCGGTCGGAAGTTTTAGAGAATACTGTGCGAGCAGATCGAGCTTTGCAGCAGCCAAGCAGAGAGAGAGAGAGAGAGAGAGGGAGAGAGCGCGCAAGAAGCTTTAATGCGTACATTTCTTGCCTTCAAGTCTTGAAAGCTTTGATTTATTTGACAATTTCAATCGCTTTAACATTGTAATTTGAGCTAAAAAATGCTAAACTAATACCCTTTCTAGGCATCCCAATCTTGTGCCTAGCGAAGGCTACGATCCCCCAGTGGTTCATTTCCTGGCGGGGGCCACGGCATCGGCTAGATCCGAAGTGCCAGCCCTGCAGGGGGACTAGAGCTTGTGGAGACACTTGACCCGATCATCCCTGCTGAAGAGTAGCCTGTCTTCGATCTGATCCCCGTTCTGTGGGTCAGATTTTGGGCCAGGGAAGGGTGCACAGGGTTCAGGGTGTCCTTGGAGATCAAATTAAATACTTCCTCACGAGTACGGAGTGGTGGCTCTTCCTCCTGCCAGTCTGCGGCTCATCCACTGGAGGGCTGCCCATCTGCTGTCCAGACAGGTGTAGAGGTGGCCCAGAATCCCCGCCAAAGAATGAACGATCAAGAAGACCTTTTCCATCCGTATTCCTGCATTATCAGTGGGATCATGGGCATTAACTCCATTACGCTAAAGCTCATTCCTGGGGGCAGATCGAGGCACAGCACACCCAAATAGTCGTGCAGCAGGTCAAAGGTCCCCAGAAAAGGTCGCTTCCTTTGGACTTGTTCTATAAAGAGTCTGGGAATCAGCTCCGTATGAAGTATTGCCACGACTACTCTCTTCTTTTAATACTTTGATCATCACTTTCTGATAATTTCCGATGGCCTTCCCCCTGGGCTCAATCTTCCAATTTGCCTTTTCGGAGGCATGGTGTGGCCTGGCATGGCCTGGCATGGCTGACCGTGCCTCGAACAACAACAATCACCGCCTCTCCCGTGACAGAGTCAATAAACTGCCGAGAGATTTGGGGAATGTGTCGATTACTACGTGACTCTCAAACGAGTTGGCCTTCTGGTCGCACACCGTTGCACACCGATACGCTGGGATGGCCATGACTCGCCGCGGTGTCCTTTCAAACTGCATTGAGCACGTGCCACTCGCCTCGCCAACGATGGTGAGAAGGTGTAGCGGTTGCATGCAACTTAAATCGGGGTTAAGGATGTGCCGTGCTGTGGCAACTTTAAGCGCCTGATGCTGCCAGATCGATTACTCAAGCCCTTTTCGGGCCATTCTTGAGATGTTTCCTCATCGGTGGCCACTCCCTCAAAGTCCCGGCTGTCCAGCTGTCCAGAGTGCGGATTACCTTCCGCTGTCTTTATCCTTGACTAACTACAACTCCAGACAGATTCCATCGCATCTCGCTAGCTTGTGGATCCTCTAATTTGCTGAAGGGGTTGTGCATTTCCTTGTGCATTTCCATCTCGTGTGCTGCAGCCATGATTTATCTTTAATTTATGTTTGGGTAATTTATCATGTCTGTGTTTTTGGGGTCGCACACAGTTGCACGCCCCCCAAGAACCTCCTCCGTGGCTCCGTGCAGTCGGAGCCAGAGACAGAGCTGCTTTCCTTTTCCTGCCTGGGCAAATGCTATGCAAATTGTCTTGAGCATTCCCCAAAGTGAAAGTGCCATTTCCCAGGCGCACACACAGAGACAGAGAGAGAGGAAGAGAGAGAGACTACTTTCTCCTTGTGCACCTCCCCCCAGTCGCAGCCCCCTTCCCTGATGTGTGCGTGTGTATTGGCCTTGAATCCATAATTTGCTTGTCAACGGCAGCCTCTGGTGGCGCGTTTGCTGCTGCTTCTGGCTGCTTCTGGCTGCTTCTGGCTGCTGGATGCCCCACCAAAAATTGTGCGCACATAATTGAGTTCAAGCATTTGGAAGCCAATTATGATTTCCACATTTTCACCCAATTTTCGCCTCTCATTTCCACGCGCTTTTTGTCCTCCTTGCCGCGCGCCCCTCTCTTGTCCCTCCTTTGAGGGCCTTTCGTGCCTCTTGCTTGATGTGTCCCCTCCCCCCCCCTCCCGTTTGCAGGCACTTGCTTGATGTGTCCTCCCTTTGGGGCCCCCTTTCTTTTGTCCTTTTGTCCTTTTGCTTTTGCTTTTGCTCTTTTCACATCTCAATCAAGTGGGTGGGCGTCCTTGGCCGTTTCTCCTCTTGCTTTGCAATCCCCCCCCTCCATCGTTGGCCCTCGTTGGCCTTCTTTAAGATCCAGCTACTGGTTATGGACCGTCTTGAGGCTCCAGCTCCAGTTTCAGGTTGTGGTCCTCTTCTGCTCCTGATGCCTGTCGCCTGCGATGTTCCTTTAATTGCTTCTGCCACTTAACATATGCAAATGAAATTTAATTCTTTTCTTTCTCCCTTAACCTGTGCCCCTTAAGTGGCATGGGATGGCCGCCACGCCTTTAGTTTGATAAATATTTATGATTGCCGATGATAGGTTGAACAATGGAAATGGGGTCCCATTCTCCTAGGTAAACCCTTTATTTTACCCCCACCGCACCCCCCGCCACTGAGTTCCGGCAAAAGAAAAGAACAATAAACAATACAGTGGAGGAGGGAAGAGGGAGTGGAGGGGGGGAGTGGGAGTGGGAGTGCCACTCAACGCAACGAAACTCGACGCATGGACTCCGATGAAGCTCTCAACCTGTCAGGACGGATCGGTGGGGGGGTTGGGGGCTCCGGCTAAGTGTGTGCCGTGACGCCCTAAAGCAGCTTGGAGCTTGAGCCGGGGCTCAGCCCAACAAAAGATACCGCCGGAAGTCTCGAGCTGATATGCCATGCACCTCCAAACCTTCAGCAGCAACAACAACAACAGCGGCAGGAAAAAACCAGGCAAAACCCAGGGAAATGGTTGGAAAAACTTTGCAACTACTCGTCGTAGTCCCCCGCCCCCCCCCTGCCACCCTACACTCCCCTGGCTATTATTCTTTATGTGTTGCTATTTTTTGGCCGGATTCTACGTCGGGGACCAAAGTGCGAGAGAGATTTAAGCTCGAACAATGGCTGCAGGCAGGGGGGGCACGGGGCAGGGGGCAGGGGGCAAGGGGCAAGGGGCCCCGAAAACCGCACGCAGGAAAAACACCGAATGTGAGGAGAATGTAGATTGTGGATGGAATTGCATTAAGAAATCATTCTTATGTGTGTGTGTCAGTGTGTGTGTGTGTGTGTGTGTGTGTGTGTGTGTGTGTGTGTGTGTGTGTGTGTCCCCTCCCACAACCCTTGCTGTGTGCATTTAATTGTATTTCTTCTAATTATAAAGCAGAAACAGAAGCAGAAGCACCAGCATAAGCCACATTTCTATTCGAATACATTTGCATACGAGGAGCTCTGTTAACGTGGCCAAAGCACACACACACACACAGACACACACACACAGACAAAGGGGAATGTAACAATACTCGGTACACATGTACACGATTCCGTACTCTTTTGCATATTACAATTAGAAATTCCAGAAAATTACGAATGTAAACCCAGAGAGTTGTTGCCATGAAAATTTGATGCTGCAGCCAGCCAGCCATCCAGCCATCCAGCCAGCCTCCTTTTTCCGCAGCTTTGGCCTTCTCTAATTGAAGGTGAGGGTTTCCCGGGTTACACCTCATCCACAGAAACAGTATGTAAGCTTTTGGAAATTGGATTAGGGAAATGAGTGAAAAGGTGGCAAAAAATGGAAAAGAATCTGAATGGGAAATTTCAAGGCATGGAATGTGTGTGGAAAAATGCAAGCAAAATTATGTATTTTTCCCAGAGAGAGAGAGCGAGAGAATGAGGGAATACCTTTTCGAATGTTTATTTAGAAATATTTTTTAAGGAAAAAAAAACGGTGGGAGAAACCGTCTGTCGATTGGAGCAGCATTCAGTCTGGGTCATGCACACGACATGCATTTTGTTTTGCGATTCTGGTCACCGAGAAAGGGCGGGCTTTCGACCACAACCTCTTTTACTTGTTTTTAGGTCATGAAATGTACTCAATTGGGGCTCTTTCTCCTTTCTATATTAGGGCTGCTTTAAGTAGGTTTCCAGCTATAATTTCCCACTATATTCACTCGTCTTGATCTGCATTTGTCACTTTCGAATGAAACCTAAATTATAGCCACATGGCCATGGCCGTCACAGGAATACAAATGTTCCACTTGAGGAGTTCATTAATCCACTTGATTTCCAGTCTCACGCCTCACAGGGGCTCCCCCGCTCCACCCCACCCCCACAGGCAATGATTTATGAATCTCCACTCCCACTATCACCCACTGCCACCCCCTGCCACCTCCTGCCACCCCCTGCCACCCACCGCTCTCCCATGTCGAAAGCACTTTGATATACTTGGCTTTGCAATTGTTTCGGTTTGATATTTGGTTAATCAAGTGTCCACCTCTGCAGGGGCGGGGGGGGGGCTCCTCGGACACGTGCCGCAAGAGCCGCAGCCCTCCCCCCTCGCCCCGCCCAGACCGTTTCAATAAATTAATTAGCCACAAAATTTATGATTATTGCCCCAAATGATTTCCGCTTTTTCTTTTCGGACTTTTGTTGCCGTTTTGTTTGATTTTTGGCTTTTTGCTTTTGCTTTTGTTTTGGCAGTTCATAAATAATTCGTCTAATTTATGCACTGTCATATATTGCGTAATGGCAGGAAGGCGTGGCAAACCGATTGTTTATCCTCCACTCTGATCAGCCCACCCCCCTCCCCCGCCCACTCAATTGCCTGGCACTCAATTTGCAGTGGGAGGCGGGGGGAGGGGGGAGGAGGAGCAGATGGAATGGGGCGAAGGTACAGTACGATTTCATAATTCAAATTCTTCGATTTATGAACCAAAAACTGGCGAAATTCCCCAGGGGGTTTATCTTCTGCTGCTCCTCCTTTGGTTTGCACTTTAGATTGAGCCAACACCCCCCTCCCTCCGAACACCCCCCCACACCCCATGCAATG